GGGAATCGCCCTTCCGGCAGCTCTTCCGGGAGCGGTACTCACGGGGGGACAGAAAAGAAGTAGAGTAACCGCGAGTATCTACGATAAATTTGGCTTTATTGTGGGCCGAAGCTAGCCCTTCGAGAAGAACGAAAATGAGCCCTTCGTGGTACAAAGTTCGGAAAGGGAACTGGGTCACGATCGCTAAGTGCGGTAAAGATATCGCGACACGAGGGCTCACGGTACACGCGAGTGATACAAAATAAAAATCGGAAATGAAAAGAAAACGCGGTACGCTGTGGGAGCACGCCCTCTTGGGGGTCGTGGACAGCAAAGGGAACGCTGGACCTAAATGTAAAATACAATGCAAAAAGAAAAAAAAAAGGTAGCCCGAACTGGGGTCAGCGGCCCAGAATCGCGGGGACGGAAAGCGCAAATCTGTACAGCGATATTCCGCGAATACGGTCCCTAAGGTCCTCGTCGCCGGGGCTGGTGGTCCTATCGCCAGGAACCACCCACACGCACACACGCTCACACACACTCGCTTATGGATCTTACAAGAAGGCAAAGATCCTACCTTTGTACGCTGGTGTCCGGGTAGGCGTCGTTCTCTATCTGGGCGCGGCGCCAAGGTAAGTCCACACTCCACCGATCGGACACACACACACGAAACGTAAAAGGGAGAAAGAAAGAGAAAAAAAGGAATTATGATACAGTGTAAAAAAAAACTAAATAAGGCGCAAAAGTGGGTATAAATAATAATATTTTCGCCGCTGGTCTTCATGCCGGTGCCGGGGGGGAAAAGGGCGCGCGAATAATAGTAAAAAAAAAAAGGCCGGCGGGCCTAGTGGTCACTCGTAACGAGGCATAAAGATATGCCTCGTTACAATATGCGATACTTGAATTTCTTTAACCCTTTCGCTTCGGCAGTCCGGTCCGCCGAAGTGTCGTCGCCGTAGGAAACACGCGCCAGAAATGTGCACAGTGCGCGTGGTTTTTGTATATACATTTTTTAAGTCCTAAATAATTATTATGTTTAATAAAACAATTGTTGCTTTAATATAGCACGTATTCCTCACATTTTAATATGAAAACAGTTAAACAAAATTATATTAGTTACTTTAAAGACATTAGACTAATTACAGTTGACAAATTCTTAGCTATTTACATATTTACAAGACTTTAAAATTGAACGTTTAATATTATTAATAATGTAACACAAATTAGTTAGTATACTAATATTTAGAAATTAGTAGTGTTCTGCCGATAAC